AGAAAGCTCGTTATCACCCGAATTACCAATCTTTTGAGGGAATCGGCTTTCTGTACAATAATTACAGTGACTCTTGACAGCGTCATTGCCTTCACCAAGATCATACTCTAACGAGTCTGCGCTAGATTCAAGATAATTACGTATATCATCATCATCATTTGTATTCATAATTTAAAGGTGTATACATGTATAGAGTGCAATATGATTGATAATGATTGAAATAGAAAGGCAGCCTACTACGTGCAAAAGAAAAGGGCATGTATATATATATATATATATACAACAAAAACGGTTGAGTATACTAAAAAATATGCATTATAGGCATAGGAAGAACAGGATAAAACACGGAAAAGGTAAGAGAAAAATTGGCGAGAGAAAGAAAAACAGCGGAAGAGGGATACAGATTGGAAAAGATGAACAAAAATGAAACAAGCAGTAGAAAACTGGAACATGTTTACTGCCAGCCAGAATTTGCTATGAGAAATGTGGTATGAAACAATGTTGGATCGGATGGAGAGAAAAGGGAAGTGCGTAAAAAAAAACAGAGTAATAAGAAACACGAGTGCAGAACAAGATGTTTCGATCCAGTTTGGCAATACCTGCCTCAAATGCAACCAGTTTATTGATGAAACCACCATGCGAGTCCTTGATGCCAGCAAAGATACGGCCATCGATGCTCCACGCCCTCAAGACTTTCTCCGAGTGACGCACCCTGTGAAAAAGTTTCTGATTTGCTGCCGTCAAGTCCTCATTTATGTATATACCCGTCCCATTGAGCTTGGAATGGGCTTGCGTGAACTTTGCTCTCGTGCGGTCTGCGCCGAACTGCACAACTATGGGCTGATCCTTCGAGCGGTCCACTGCTGCGGTACGAGCGGTCGGCTGGAGTGATTCCGAACCCCAGCTGATCGGCCATCCGACAGATGGCGTCATCCGTTGACTCCTGTGGGCGCTCATGGATGCGGACGTTGTTGAGCCGGGGGTGCTGCTCATGGATGTCAGCCTTCCGCTCCAGACGGGAAACAGCATCCCTGCAGCTTTCCTCGGATTTTGTTAGGCGCTTGATCTCCTCCGCATGTGCCCGAACCTGCCCCCTCAAGCTCCAGAACTCTCCCCTCCTGCTCCTCGAGACGGGCGACCGCTTCTGTTACTGCCGTCTTCACTGCCTTCTCCACGATATTCGTCAACAAATCACTATTTTCAAGCTCTCTCATGACATGACGAGCAATCTCAGCAGGAATTTTTATTAGCAGTAGGCATGTTAACGGTTTCCTAATCCCAAGAATAAGGTGATAAAGATGAAGGAAATAATCTGTGGCAAGGCTAGTGAATATATGCAGCATCAAAGCATCACAACACAGGAGTCAATCACTACGCACATCCGTGTGATTAGGTCAACAACAACAAAATCAGTGCTAACAGTAACAGTGCATGGCTGCATACATAGTACCACAGTGAGCTGCACATGGTATGTGCTAACACAAAAGTTAATGGGTGGTACAGTTGAAAGTGGCCATATGCAAACCCAGGGAAATCGGCTCCCTAAAGATAACCCTTGATAAGGCTTGCAGTAAAACAAAACGAAGGTCAAATGTCACTACATCACTCCTTATAGCCTAGCAAATAGAGGCTACAATGTTCATGACCTCCAACTGAGGATAAATTTAATTTAATTGAGGTAACAATGTCAAGCTATATAGACAGGTCCAATGCAGTCGTATTCAGTTTAAAATACGGTTGCAAGAATTTCAACACGTATTTCAATTTCGACGAAGAAAATCTAGAAAAAAGACTCTTAAACGCATCATACAGTCAATCTGGTAAGTGGAACCGATGTATACTTAGCCTAGGCCTAATTTTCAAAAATAAATGCATCGGATATGAATCCGCTAATAAAGTGACATTTTAGTCCAACGTTTGGTGCTTTATATAGATTAAAGGGATAGTTGAGTTCTGTTTTCAGACCGCAAATGCCTTCAGAGTGCATGATTATTGCTCTTATTCTTATCTATGACATTTCTAGTGCCCTTTGAGAACCTAAAATTGGTATGAAGGTAATTTTAGACCCCAAAATGTTTGAAATTTAGCCAATAGGATCATACCAATTCAGCTCCACTTTCAAAAAAACACGGTGACCGTTAATTAATTATCTAATTAAAAATAACAATACATGAGCCGGCTAATTGTGGATAATATAAGCAACACGAAAATGCCAACAAAAAAGCCAACATCAGCATTGGCTGAAATACGACGTAAAAGGCGTTATTTCGTTTTTGTCAACGGTTTTTTCAAATTTTTCAAAATATCTAATATTTGCGGTGGTACACAAGTATCAGAAATCGTTATATTTCAGCCGTCTCTGTACCGATTTTGATCAAAGAAAGATGATTTTGTCATTGAAATTTTATGTTCTTTCAAATTTAACACTCAGTTTTTCATTATCTCACACAAAATTATTTTGTGTAGCGCCCTCTGCAACAGAACTCAACTATCCCTTTAAGCCAGTTTGTGCCAAGGCGTACTTTATTGTTACCGTATAAAACGTTAATTAAACCACATATGACCTACGGACTTGAGGTTTGGGGAACAACATGTAATTAAGAAATACACATGAAGTGTTTATCATTAAGTAAAACAGATGGGTTTAAGAATTGTAACGTTTAGTCCAATTAGAACTCATTCATAACCGTTATTCCGGGAGCTAAAATTGTTGAATGTGCATCAACTCCATAAACTATTTATTTGTGTTTTTATGTATCAATTATTGAATGATTAATTGCCGCAGTCCTTAATTCAGTATTTTGTTTAATAGAGCACAAATATGAGACTACACAAAGATAAAGTAAGAAGTTCAGTGGGCCTAAAGTAAGGACAACGCAGGGTAAATTCTCAGCGTCATTCAGAGGCACATGCTTTTGGAATGATCTACCCGGAGTATGCTTCGCCAGTATGGAGTAGGTCGGCCCACGCACTCAAGACCGGCGACCCAGCTCTAAATTCATCTTGCAGAGCGATCACTGGTTGCCTTAGGCCAACTAAAGTAGAAGACATCTACCTGCTCTGCGGTATCGTCCCTCCACACATCAGAAGGTTGGTCTTGTCCCAGAAAGAAAAGGAAAAACAAGAAAACAATCCACTCCACCCACTCTTCGAACAACAACCAGTGGGCAAGCGGAGCAAATCCGGACGCAGCTTTCTGCACACTGTAGAGCCCCTTAATACCAGCTCTCACAACCAAAGGTTGATTTTGTGGTCTAACCACCGCCAGACCACTCCAAATAAACTCTCCCTCAGCCCGAAGGAATCCCTCGCCTCCGGCTCCAGTGAGACTTGACCTACCTGGCTAAGCCTCAACCGCCTAAGAACTGGCTACGGACCATGCAGAGTCTTAATGCAGAGATGGGGTCTAGGAGACGCGCAAACAGCATGTGAATGCAGACATGAACAGACAATGGAACACCTGCTAGTCTACCCACTCCTACCAGAGACATGCACCCAAGAGGACCTGGAAGCCGTGAATTACCGTGCCAAAGCCTGTATGGACCACTGGACGGGACTTGTGTAGTGACTCGAAAAGAGGAAGTAGAAGTCTAGTATCACAAATGTTAATAGAATAATTGTTTCTAACTTTGAACCGAGGATCTTGCCTTTTTGTAAATAGTGTGTTATACAATTCTTTATCTTTTTATTTAGTGTAAAATACCCAAGTTTTTTATTTAATCAAGGAACATATATTTAGCTAGATGTAGAATAGCTTGTAGCTTAAGTATGTATTCAATAGTTATTCATATTTATTCATTACATTCTCATTCATTGTTGGGATAGTTTTGTGTGTTAGTGGTAACAGACACGATTATCACTTAAAGGGACTTGGTAACATTGTTCAGATGAGAGATAGGGGTGCTAAGGTAGTGACTTCAACGCTAGATGTACAATTAAAAATAATCTGAAAATTTGAATGAAAACGTACCATTATTCATGATACAAACTGGGTAAACAGATCTGATCGATTCCTTAATATTCTTCCAACTATATCATTACAATTTAATTACATTTTAGGTGAATGTAAATCGTCACGAAGCAATAAACTGACTCTACATACCATTCCAGATATTTAAGTGTTGACAGATTTTTAATAGCCTGTTTTATGTCTCTTTTTTTTCATGAAAAAAACGGTTGGGAAAATTCAAAAACGGTTGAGAGAATTTACTGTTAATCACTGTTAGAGGATATGCACAGTGACGCCTTCAAAGAAAGCCCTAGATACCTCCGTGGTTTAAGAATTTTTTTCAGGGCTGTTTGCATGTCAGAGGGTTAGTCCAGTAGAAGGAATATGATAAGTAACATTTTATACAAAAATTAAGAAATTTGTTCATCAACCTCCAACAATGTTACCGAGTCACTTTGATGCTATTTTCTGGTTCCATTTATTCGTTTAATGTTAAACATTCACATTTGATTGATATATTGATGTACTTTTTGTTTGGATAATAAACTTCAAACTAAACTCAAACTTCAAACAAATTAATACAAAAACATGAAGATGTAGTGTCATCTTGTCGATAACCGAAAAAGGGGAAAGAAACAGCATGCATTTCCCTTGATGTGCATGTATACATAAAGCAAACACAGACATTGGTAATAAAAAAAGGCACATTTTTTTCTCTTATTCGCGCGCCTCATTCTCAACATTTACCTTTCGAAAATATTATGAATTGCAACATAAGCACCCAAAAAGGAAGTAATAATGTGAGAAAATCAGCTTCTGTTTCCATCCTCGGGCTGACAAGTCGGAACGGAATGAATTTTTATCGACTTCTGAATGTCAACAATACGTTTGCAATCTATGGGCTTAATCATAAAGTAATATTAAAAGAAAAAAAATCTGCCCAATCAACATCTGAGCATACATTTCAAGTATTTGCGTCATAGCTCTTTTTAATATCCTGATGTGAGAGGCAATTTATAACCATAATCACTTCCTCCTATCTTCATTCAGCCATTTTCTTTGGCAGCAGACAGGTGCCACGTTCAAGACGATCAGCAGTAAACTATACTATAACGAAAACAAAAAAGTTTCTCTGGACAAATTGGAATCTGCCGCACAGTCATTATTAAACAGTCAGGTTTATAATATCATACCCATTCCGGGGTGCTGTTTTAAGGATGGCCGATCTGAAAGAATTCGTGTTTTCCTTTCTGTTTTGTCTTCTTTTACAATGTGCTCCATCTCTACAAGGTAAGAAATCCGGATATTTCGTCATTTGAATTTTGGATTGTTTGTTTGAATATGGCTGATGATGTTTCATGTATTATACGCTTTCATTTTCTAGTTTAAATATTAGTCCGTTACAATTTAAATATGCAAAATAATAAAAATTCCAAGTTGAATAAAATATTGATTCAGAATAGGAAAAATCATTATGACTGACTTGCTTTAATTATTGTTGCACAATTTACTACTAACTGAATTTTTCTTACTTATCCATTGATATATTATATGTGACATGATCTAGATTTCAATTCAAATTTATATTTATATTCTAAATTCGAACTTAACCCAAAATTCATATTCAAATTCAAAACTCAACTTCAATTCAAATGCAAATTCAAATTCAAATTCATATTCATATTCGAATTCGAATTCGAATTCGAACTCAAATTCAATTATTTTTTTTACCATTTCGGACATGAATTGAGAAAACGAAATAAAAACAAATATATATCACGTTAGCAAAACCTGAGAAAATTTCAAAAGCATTGTCCATTACCTTTTAAAATATTCGAACTTTAAAATTACGTATTGGATAAACCAAACATGATTTATGTGGGTCACAATAGACTATTGAATTTGCCCTTTGCGATCGTGCTAAATCCTTTCATGACGCACTTTCTTTCAAGAATTAGTGCGAGTCTGTGCGTTGACTTTAGATAAATATCGCTGAATCCCCCCTCAACCCCCCTTCCATTTTAACTCCATAACAGATTGCTCGCGTCCCAATCCCAGTTCCAACGTCATAATAAACCCGGATCAAGCGAATTACACACCATGGACGTACGCAGTGTTTTCATGTCCTACTGGTTATTTAGCTTCAGGTGGTGCGACCTATTCTTACTGTTACTCGGGATCGCCCGACTACTGGTCCCCTGCGATGTCGCAGGTTATATCCTGCACGATAGGTAGGTCACGGCAATAAATTTGTCTGTTACATTCGTTCTGTAATTATTCCATAGCTTAGTATCGTGAATGTACTAGCGTAAGTTTAATGATATTACTACTTCTGCTACTAATACTACTAGTGCAAACTTTAGTAAGCACCTGTATTGAAAGAACACCTGTCCATAAAGACCGCATTTTGTGTTTACCTTTAATATGGTTTCTCATTAAACATGTACTAAAAGTAACCTGAATATGAAGACCGCCTGCCTATAAAAACAATTTCCACGGTTCACTTAAGCGGTCTTTGAATACAGGTTTCACTACTAATATTGCTACTACTACTACTACTACGACGACGACGAATACTACTACTAATAATAATAAATATGATAATAATCATAATTGTAATAATAATTAATGATAATATTAACAAAAGTAATGATGATGATGACGATTATAATGGTAATAATAACAAAAGTAATGACGATAAAGATTATACTGATAATAATAACAATATAAGTAACAACAATAATGATAATAATAATGATAATTTCACAGTAATAATAAAATTAGTAATAATGATAGTAATAAAAACAATAGTAATATTGATAACAATAAGAAGAACGGTAATAATAATTTGATCTTGTTCACGGACTTTTGGGCAGTCTTTTTTGTTTAATGTTAATGTTCTTTGCAATCTGCATCTTTTTGAATAAATTATGCAAACTTTATATACCTTGACCTTTGCCTTATATTGAAAAAGCTCATTCCTCTGACGAACCGTTTCGAAGCAAGAGCTCGTATATCTCCATTTTCATATTACGAATACATTCACTTAACTATTGCGGCGGTTCAAGGAGCGCAAATGAATTTCCCGAATGAATTCGAATGCAACCCTGATGAAATTGGGCGGGAAAACCTATATTATTATTATCCCCTTTCAATGGGTGCAAGGATGGATCAATACAGTATATGAACGTATACTTAAAGTTAGCACTGAGCAAAGATCGAACCCAGTTCCTCTCGTCTGAGTGTCAAGAGCCTACACCAATATGTCAGTGTTAATTTTTCATATTCCGCAGATTAAACGTAATTGTGGTTGCATTCGTTGTCAAAGTTAGAATAGGTATTATACGAAACCCCGAACAAGCGAACATAAGCTATTCTCTCTCCTAGTCATTATAAGGGCTAAAATCAATGTTTTCTTTTTGACAACTCAACTTTTAAATACATACTGACTTGATACGACCAAGGAGTTTCGACTCCCTGGTACGACACTAACTGTATTTGTTATACCCAAGATTTTCCTCCCTCTCTTCTTCAAGAGCAATTCGCTCATAATGTTGGTTTTCCTTTAACAATTAATGGGGATTTCTTCCAACCGGGTAAACATTTCCCACAGCCGGGGGAGTGTGGCAAATGTAGATTAATGGCTTTACAAATGAGCTCAGTTGTCTGGCCGGACTCGAACCGCGAACCATGCGATAAATAGTCCGGTTACGTATCTACGAGACCACAATACACCAACAAGGTGTCTAGAGTGTGCTGAGGACATGCAATTCAATATCATACGCAAAGCCTTACCATCGTTAGTCATTCTATGATGATCGCATTGCAATTTGACTTTTAAACTTCACAGACCTGACATTTAAAACCTGACAATTTTAAAAACCCTTTGTGTACTTTCTATGATAACGCAACTTTTGTTTAGAACAATAATTTGTCATTGATGTTTATTTGTGTTGTTTTACAGTGGGAAATATTTGCTTTGAATTGATTTGATATCAAACGCTTCTTCCAATAGTATTGGCATGAATTTTATGAATGTTAATCTTTGACACGATGATTTTAGTTGTGTTTAATTGTCTCCCCTCTCCCTCTTGCCCGCACTCTCTCTCCCCCTCTCCCTCCCCCTCTCTCTCTCTCTCTTTCTCTCTTTCTCTACCTGTCTTTATTCTCCTTTCTGTCTTTGCTTCCCCTGTTTTGTTATCTCTCTCTCTCCCTTTCTCTCCTTACCAATAGATACGAGTGTGACTACGCCTGAGACGGGTAACATGACAGGTATGTTATTCTACAAATAAACTCTTCCTTGGGGAAACTTACTAGCATCAATGATATTGTTAATAATAATAACAACAACACTATACTCTTACTAAATCTATAACAATACAAATTTCGAAAGAATTACATTCTGTTATTTTTGCTGTGCCATGCAGTGATAAAGAGGAAACTTCTCCTGTGAATTTCATAATACCCCCACTTCAAAAGAAGACGATATTGCCGTCCAGAAAACATTAAAACAGTTTGGTGGATCGTGGTTTGGTATTTTCAATCTTCTCCATCGTTTATCGAGCCTTTCTGAGGCGTCTATAATTGCCACCACTTTCCTGGTCGTAACAAAGTTTGGATCATGTTCAAAACGTCGGCAACGAAAGCGCAGATAGTAAAAGACCAGCCTGTAAGTCCCGTGACCAATCTCTGGAAACAAAGGTTTGAAAGTGTTTTGTGTTCCCTGATGAATACCGAACAATTTTGAATTGGGCTGCCCCCTTGAAGTCCCGGGCATTTTCGTGAGGGGCTAACAAAGGTCAGACAGGGATCGAAATTCAAATCGTGTCGATATGAATATCAAATTACTCGTCTGATCATGAGGATTCCCAAAATATATAGTTTGCTATACCTCCGACCTAAAATGAGGGCGCAATGATAAAAAAAACGTTGAAAGGTCAACGCACTGCTGACCGGTAGTCAAATTCACCAACACATGTTAATCTTATCAAATTGCATATTAAATTACTCGTCTGGTCATGAGGATTCAAAAAATGTATAGTTTGCTATACCTCCGACCTAAAATGAGGGCGCAATGATAAAAAACGTTGAAAGGTCAACGCACTTCTGACCGGTACTTAAATTTACCAACACATGTTAACCTTATCAAATTGCATATTAAATTACTCGTCTGGTCATGAGGATTCCAAAGATGTATAGTTTGTTATACCTCCGACCTTAAATGAGAGCGCTATGGTCAAAAGGGTCAATGCATTTAGACTGGTGGTCAAATTCAACAACACGTCCGATTCTCATGATTTTAGTGTCTAATAATATATTTTCTGACATAACAAATTCAACCAAGCAAATTTTTTAATCAAAAGTGGTTGCCATAACCTTGAAAATTCCCCCTAACCCATGGATAAGAAGTTGTTAAATGTTTGTCACCGAAACGGCAGCCATTCTGAATGTTCATGGTCAAGGTATGCACTTTTACTTTTGAAAATTGTATAGTTGACTTTGCCATGTCCGAAAACATATAATTAGACACTAAAATCATTAGAATCGGACGTGTTGGTGAACTTGACAACCAGTCTAAAGTGCATTGACCTTTTTGACCATAGCGCTCTCATTTAAGGTCGGAGGTATAACAAACTATACATCTTTGGAATCCTCATGACCAGACGAGTAATTTAATATGCAATTTGATAAGGTTAACATGGTTGGTGAATTTGACCACCGGTCAAAATTGCGTTGACCTTTCAGCCTTTTTGACCATAGCGCCCTCATTTTAGGTCGGAGGTATAGCAAACTATACATTTTTGGAATACTCATGACCAGACGGGTAATTTGATATGCATATTGACACGATTTGAATATATTTAAATTTCGACCCCTGTGTGACCTTTGTTGGCCCCTCACGAAAATGCCTGGGATTTTCAAGGGGCAGCCCGAGTCAAAACGGTTCGGTATTCATCAAGGAACACAAAAATACTTTTAAACCGTTGTTTCCAGAGATTGGTTACGGGACCTACCGGCTGGTCTCCTACTAAGAGGTGCCAAAGCGCATCACACTGCTCAAGAGCGTATTGAAACTGACATGTTTAATAATAATAATAATTTACACAGGGTAGGCACTTCAGTTATGAAACTGCTCTTCCAGCGGGCCGTGCATAACATTACTACCCTTCTCATATGCTGAAGGCAGAAGGTCCCATTGTTAAAAGTCTTTGATATGACTCGGCCGGGGTTTGAACCCACGACTACCCGTTCATGAGACGGGCGCTCTAACCACTGAGCCACCATGCCCGGTGGCTGTGTACTAAAGAGATAAGATTGCGTAAGTTAGCGATTTTTGAGAATCTGTGATCAATCTAGCGCAACTATTTATGTTGAACGCAAATTTGACCATGTTTTATACGAATGAATCACTTCATCAAAAAGGCACGGCCCTGTTATTCAAAATCTTCTGTGTGAGTTTGAACTGATCATGATGTACGATAAACCTTTTCCATGTTTGTTTTTCTCTCATGTATAGCGGAATCGATGGTATTTGTAGCTGACAATTCAAGAGGGGCAATATACATGGCCGACTTTTCCAGCGACAGTCTCGACTCTTTGACCTTCTATGCTCTGCCCTTCGGTTCCGTCTCTCAACCGATAGGCGTCGATTACGATCCGGCTACTCGCATGGTGTACTGGACCGAAACGTCAGGATCCATACGACGCGCGAATATCGATGGCACTATGCAAAGCGTCATCGTCAATAGCAGTATTGTCGGCAGTGAGTATTATTGAGCTAAGATTTCTCTTTCCTTTTTAAGATTTGAATTTCAATTTAAAATTTCTTTATGAGAAAATTTTAAAAAACATTGTTTTTAAAAAAGACCTACAATATGCTGTATTTTGTGTTTCTTTGTTTTGATTTTTGTTTTGTTTTAGTTTTGTTTGTTCTTTTATTTTATGTTGTTCTATTTTTTCTTCTTTCCTTCTACTTTTCCTTTGTAATTTTCGACTTGTTTGCTTTACCTTCTACGTCTGATTGTTCTTCTTGTTGTTTTCACCTTGTTTCTCTTTTTGATGCTGATGTTCTTGCTTTTGGGGAATGTTCTGTAACTTCTTCTTTATTCTTTAATCTTCATCTTCTTCGTCTTTCCCCCAAAAGTCTTCTTGGTGCTCTTTATTTGTTTGATTTGATCCTTCCTCTCATCTGTATCATAACCATCGTCCTCTTTTTCATCTTTTTTTTTTATTAATCTCCTCCTTCTTCTAATTGTATTCCCTGAATGTTATCATGTCATCGTCTTTCTTCGCAGGGTCAGAAAACCTAGCGTTGGATACCAGTCGTGGTAAAGTCTTTTGGACCGATGAAACCCTAGACCGAATCATGTCGGCTAATCTCGACGGATCCTCTCAGCAAATTCTCATCAATACCGACATAGAGAGTCCACGCGCAATCATCGTACACCAAGTAGAAGGGTAAACTTTTCTTAATCCCCTCTATCTCTTTCACACACACACACACACACGCGCACACACACACACACACACACACACACACCTGTCTATCTTTATCTCTCCAAATCGCTCTCTCGTTATTCTTTTGTTTCCCCTTCTTTATCCCCGCCAATCTTTAAATTACTATCTCTCTCTCTCTCCTCTGCATCCATCAATTTTCCTGGTGTGATATTCAGATCATCGATTCGGAGCTAGGAGGGCGTTAAGTTTGGATTAATTTATTATTCAATACCCTTCTGACTTTGTATAGGATGCTGAATTGTATATGAAAGAAGTCGGAAAAGGAAAGCCGACTTGGCTGATTTTTAAAGTAACTTCATTGGGGCTCAACAAATAGGTGATAAAATCAATACCTAATACTGGGCTATGCTGAGCTCTATTACCTTTTATGGGTTTATTGACGCCATCTAAAGTGTGCATATTCCAAAATGAAAAGTCAAAGTGTCAAACGTTTGGGTTTTCCGGACACTTCCGATGCCCTTCGATGATAAAACGCTGTACATGTACATATTAATTTGCAAAAAAATTGTTTCAAATTTTCATTCATTTCCCGATTGTGTTAATACTCTTTAAACTTTCTTTATACTTTCAAAGTTGCCACGGAGATGTCAAAGGGCATTAGGTGTTGTAACTTAGAAGTTCAATTCACTTGAATCGCAATCCAATAGTTGATGGTTCGAATTATTACCCTGTACTAATGACCTCTGGTGAGTCATACATACACGTTTGGCACTCTCGGGTGTAAATGGGAAACCTACCAATAGCTGTGAATATATAACTATCGCCGGGCACTCTGGAAGAACAGCATTGAAGCTGAAGAGAATTCCCTTGGTAAACAAAAGTAGTAGCAGTAGTACTACTAGTAGTAATAGAAGTAGTATTAGTAGTGATAACAGTAATTGTAGAAGTCAGTGGCGGATCTAGGGGGGGGCACAGGGGGCACGTGCCCCCCCCCGGCCAAAAAATAAGCCCCAAGTTTGCCAATAAAGTACTGGCAAACAGGGACGTGCCCCCCCCCCCCCCCACCGGCCCCGGCCAAAAAAGAGAGATTTTTTTGGGACCAAAACAAATATTTATATATGTCTCTACGTGTACCCCCGTGTGCCCCCGGGAAGAAATTCCTGGATCCGCCCCTGGTAGTAGTAGTAGTAGTAGTAGTAGTAGTAGTAGTATCCTAGTAGTAGGAGAAGTGGTATTATTAGTATTAGTAGCAGTTGTAGACTTGTAGTATTAGTAGTAGTTGTAGTAGTAGTAGTAGTAATATTACTATCATTATTATTCTCTACCCTCACACAGAGTGATGATTTGGACGGACTGGAGTGCCCCAAGTCGAATCGAGAGGGCCAATCTTGATGGCGGGGACAGATACGTCATTGTCAACTCTAGCATCATATATCCCAATGGGTTGGCATTAAACGCTGACGGTAAGGATAACATTGAACGTCAAACAATTTAAACAAAAATTAACTGGATAATTTTGTTAATTTATTGAACAAAATAATTATGTGCCATCAAAATCATCCAAAATATTATAGTACACTACCAAAATTAAGTTCTAGGACAATTACCCCCCCCCCCCCCGAGAAGATCATCCGGGCAATTAGCATCGAGAAAATTACTCCCCCCCCCCCCCGGAAAAATTACCCTTTAGGACAATTAACATCTAGGACAATTGTCCTCTTAGGACAAGAACCCTCTTAGGACAAGAACTCTCAAGGACAAATACACCCCGGACAATAACCACTAGGAAAATAACCCCTGGACAATCACACCTAGGATAATTACCCCTGGGACATTTGCTTATCATCTAGAAAATTACCCTCTGACCAATAATACTTTATAGAGATTACCCCCTGGATCGATGAATACACTAAGTCAAGTTTACCGCGGACCTTGGTGATAAATAATGACCCTTATTGATTGATGGCAAAAGCAAATGAATGTGCATGATTGCCATACAATTGGGTTGGATTATTCTTTATATGATACTTGTATATTTTCCTGGCCGGTTATATTATACAACGTTTCACCATGGCGCAACATTTTAATTTTCCTTGGGAGTTTTTTTCTTCAACAAATTAAAAGTTGGCGGATATGATATTTTGAGTCAGATATGAAACTCTTTCATAATGATGATCAAATTATTAATGATTATGAACTGAATTAATGTTTGTATTAACCATCAGGGCATCGTTCCGCGAAACCGTCATGCACGTTCGCTCACATCCCATTGGAATTATGTTTTAAGATTGATGGTTATGGTAATGGTAATGGTTTTAGTAAAAAATTCATTTGCAGCCAGATGGCTGAATTGCAGAACTTTGTACATTGTACAAACACAAATATTTATACAAAAATAAAAAGTATTAAGACATATCACGCAGTGAATACATTTTCTAAATAAATCGGTGTACACATGTGTTTATATACAAATCAATACAATTCATAAAATTTGCTTAACAGCTAACAGTTGCTTAATTCTATTCCACAATCATCATTGGGCTGGCGGGAAATATAGAAGAGAAGTAGGGAGGATAATAGTGCAGACAGCACAGGAGATCCAGGAAAAGTGTGAGATAGAGAAAGACAGAGGGAGCGAAAGGGAGAGAGAAAGAGAGACAAAGCGAGAGATAGAGTGATATAAAATATAATGCTGAGGATAAGAGTGTATATCAGACATATCGAAAATAAGGTAAAAAGTACAATTTCGACAGAGAGAGTACTGGTTGTAAAAATTAATAAATTACATTTTACATTTTCATTGGTGAGTTATGGAAAACATATATTGTTAATTGATAGGTAGGTATGCAATCAGATGAAAGACATGAAATATGGCAATTTTGAGATTTTTCTTGTAATAAGTATGTGGTAAGTATGTTTGAATCATTACAAAAGTTAACCATGGTAATTTATTTTATTATATTATCATTTTCTTTTATCAATAAAGGTTGTACAACCGTTTTGGTAACAACAATTTTTATATACTATTTCACATAAAATAAAATAATTCTACCTCATTGAGACACGTTTCAATAAGATGTCGGTGAACATGTACTTATGAAGGTTTCGTAAATCAATGCCTAGGTTCACGGGTCTACTGGTGCGACGCTGGAACCGATCAAATCGAGTCCGTCGACCTCTGGGGCAACGACAGAATGGTTCACCTGGCGACATCGTCGATTCATCCTTACGACCTAGCAGTCGTCGACGACACTATAATATGGACGGATTGGATTTATGATGCAATTGGTGTAACTTCAACCAGCAATAGCAGCGGTTACAGTTTATACTACCACAGCACTTTCCAAAATCCACATGGCATACATGTGTATCAAGGTTTGTATCTGATTCGCATTTCGAATACACCGTCATGAGAGTGGCTGATCCAGGGAGTGGGGGGTCATGGGGGAGTCTTAAGAACACATTCCCCATATTCTATTTAGAATTTTAATAAAATATGGTGCAATAACTATAACGAAGTTAAGCTATACCTTTTTCCTTCGTTAAACGTGATCCCAAACCAGGGGTTGGGTTTAACTGAATTAGTAACAGGTGGACCATTGATTGCAAAAGAAAGTGCATCCCCCTAATTGTGTTCCAACCATAATATATATTCTCTACAGGAGGCACCTGAGAATATTGCTCTTCTTTATTTCATAAACCTATTATTTTTTCTTTCGCTTGTCAGACATTTATTTTCACAAAAAGTTGTTGACCCCATTTTTATTTGTTTTGCTTTTAAGAGAAAACAGTCAGTTTTTGCCATCCACACCCTCCCCCCCCCCCCATCCGCTTCAAAAGGATGCTAGATCCGCCATTAAAACACTTCGATATATCAAAAATACACACAGGCCCGCGTATGTGCTACGTCCACGCGAAATGCATTGTATCTATCAGAATGTATTTTTGTAAAGGGATATGATAAGCAGTTTCTATGCGCTGACACCGTGCTAATTGGTAGAAATACCATTATAGCAGGTGCGTAAGTCTCGCACACAAAAAACTGGATGTCCCAGCTAAAAATACGCCCGAGTTAGTCGGAGAGTCTTCGGATGAGGGTAATGTGCGATGATTACCTCTCCTTTTGGGCCATTGGAAAAGGGAGCAGTGCGTTACATTGAATATGTGGGATGTAAAACAACATCTCTCATTGGGTAAATACCAGAATTGTGTCAGGTACCACACGAGAATCTATGCTTACGTGTCCTCAATCGGGAGTTTCCTAACGAGAATCAACGTTAAATACTTCCCAATCAGGTGAAGTAAATGGGTATACGGTAGGAAGAATGTCTAGAGTGACTAAGCGTATTAGCATGGTAGCTCTGTTACAGCCGGGGTAAAGATATGACACAGGGCCCTTTGTAAGACATTTCATTCGGAAGTTAATTGATGGTAGGCCCAAATAATAAGTCTCTCCTAAATTTGAATAGGAATTCCAAATTGAAAGCTATCATAATTATTTTGTTTTAATATTATAAAAAATCTTTTCTCGAAATTGTAGATTGAACGGCCTACTGTACTAAGTATAGATCAAAAGTTTGAATAGAACATTGCCTTATGCTCCGTCGTGTTTCATTTTTCCTGTCATCATACTTTGCAGAAGAAATGCCAACAACAACGGAAGTTTACAACCCTACTACTGACCAAGCTGATCCGGGTGAGTCATACAAATGTAGGCGGGGCACTGTGGTATATTGGTGAATGCTATTGACTCACATACGAGAGTTCCCGGGTTCGATCCTTCTTCAGTTATTACAAGGGTTTTACTCTATATATGGATATATGTATTTAATGGATACCTACCACTGCTTGGGTATATCTGGTAATACTAATTACAGGGTCCGTGTGATGAGCGGTATTGTAATTGCTGTGGTAACCTTGGGTAATAAGACCGAATCATTATTGCAATCGTAATCATTAACATTATCCTTATTATAATTATTACTATTATCATAAATATTAGAATGATTGTTGATGTTTTTTTATAATTTCATTAAGATACCTTTCTCACGATTAATGTAATCTTTTTCATAAAGCCACCCTTAGGTTGAAGACATTCAGCTTCATGTTATACTTCGTTCTAGCTCCACTAAATACAGATTGAAAGTAAAAACTTAATTGAAGTGGATAATACTAAATTAATTTTTGAATTACAGGACATCCATTTCTCGTGTTTGGTTGCAAATTATAAGTCTTCTTCTAAAGTTATAATTAAATTAAAATGTATTATGAACTTTCAGAATTCTGAACATTATACAAAATTGTTTCGGATTATCAATTTCGGATAAAACGAAATAGAATTAAGAAGAATCCTTGGAAATTCTTAACGTATTTTGATTTCGTTTGTATCCCATACAGTCGCAATACCATGAAAGCAATACATATAATATTTTCTCTGTCTTCATTTACTCCAAAATAAATCCTTTTGTCTCAGTTGACTTTTTTTTCCCCCAAAGAAGAGATTTAGCTTCATGTTAAATTTCGTCCTAGCTCAACCAAATATTGAAATGATGTCGAACTTAATTAAACTAAATGATAATTATTTGCATTGATCTGAATCGATTTGAAATGCAGCACATCTATATCTGGAGTTTGTTTGAATATTAGAAGTCTTCTTCTGAAATTATAGAATTATAGTTTTTTTGTTGTCGGTAAGGTTTTGACAAACATCTATTTAAGCTGAGGTATTTTTAATTCCCCCATGAGAACATTATGAATCAGATTGAGTTCTGGTAAGGGTGAATTGTAATGTTCGAATTATCATATTTCCACTTCCATTTAGAAATATATCACAGAAGAATTGTCCATGAAAAAAGATAAAGTCTTGAGCAGAACCTAACTTAATCTCAGGTTGTGTCAAATAAGTCACGAGCAGTACAATACAGGGCCTATTGTCTACACTTTCGTTATAGGCTCCTTGCTCAGAACCTCTGCCATGCGTTCCGTCAAGGTTTTGTGCTTGCAAGCTACTCAATGCACACGCGGCGTCAAATTAGTGACGCAGGACTGCGTTAGAGAGACGTTAGGTATTTAACGCACCATGTGAGAGTGACATCGCACTGAAAGTGAATTGCAAAATGAGCAGCACAAAACAATCGGTTGAATAACCATGATAAAGTGGACCCCTTGCCTTCACAGGTTTCATTAGCGCTGTTAATCAAAGCTTTACTGGAAATTACACCATTCAGCAGACAAATAATTTTGTGTACGACTATTCTAACATTAATAATACAAATTACCTATTTATTGTTTGTTATCACATGAACTAAACATTACTTTACTTTTGGATTCACGTACAATTAATTTTTGTACTTCTATTCCGGAGAGATGATTTTGTTTAAACAATGAAGTTAAACAAAAAATTCATATTTTATGTATTTTGAAGATTTGAGAAGAAAGTGAAATGTGATTAACGCATTAAAAATGCAATTTCGCCATGTTAGGTCCATACATCGCAAGAGCACTTAGTTCATAGTTTGATCATGGACAAATATCCATTTTATATCTTCTCGCAGAGGCAGACCTGACTTGTGACAGCGTGTCGATGACGCTCATTATGGACAGAATCCTTCTCGATATCAGCGACGACGCCCGCGATGTCCATTTCAAAGACAAGTCTTGTGTTGGATACGATCACGATAGTCAGCATGTTGCGATCACCACCATGTACGACGGATGTGGTACTACGCAAGAGGTATGGTCAACTAACCTTTATTTACCATTGATACATCACAAAAGCACCGTACTTGATGGAGAATCCAATAATAGTACTCTCGTGAATCGCTGGTCCATTTTTTCAGTGGTCGTGTTAATTATCTATATTTACCAGTGCTCGTAGAAGATTATTTTCCATCGGTAATAGACGTATAGTTATAATATCGTCTAGGGGATCAGAATTCTAACATATGTATCATTATGATAATATTGGCTAGATGAATTACACAGAGTGGTTATGATCATAGATTTTGGGACAATTATCTTTTCTAGATACATCTATCTGTCTGTCAATCCAAACTTTTGTCTTTCCTTTTCTTTTAAGCACGATATTCTCAGCCCAAATGCCTGAATCTTCAGAGGCGATTTATGCGTTAACCCTGGAATAGACCTCCTATGTATGGGTGGCAATAAAGGCCAAAAACGAAAAAACGTTTTATTCCATGTCTTTATTCCTACTCTATTTTGTTAATTCAAATTTTTCACCCTTTTGGCAGACCATCGTAAATCAGAGGGTTATTTTATTGTTGAGGTTTTATATCACCTTCGGCCTTGTATAAGTGTAGTAGTGTTCTAAATAAAGTCGGTGGATTGTGGACCATGAGGTACAGGTGACAGTCCCTGCCATAGCAATAATGTCTTTTGGAAAAACAACTTTTGTCATCATTTGCTACTCTCCAGTTAGATGGTTCAGGCGCGATTCCAGGGGGGCCGAGCGGGCCTTGGACCCCCCCCCCCCCCCGCGCAAAAAAAAAATAAGAGAGAGAAGAAAGGAAAAGAAGGGAAAGGGAAAGAGGAGAGAAAGGGAAAGGGAAAGAGAGAAGAGGAAGAAGAAAAGAAAAGGGAGAAGAAGGAGATCGGGGGGCCGAAAGGGCCTTGCCTCCCATGCTGTTGCCCCCCCCCCCCCCCACACACAATCAACAAAAAATAAGAGAGAAGAAAGGAAAGGGAAAGGGGAGATACTGGTGAACTGATAGGGGGTAGGGGGCTTGGGGGAAATCAAATTTAAACGTGGTTTATTTCTATAATTCCATAACGGTGGATTACAAATAATGCTGAAATGACATAATTTCCGAGATTTTTCCTTACTTTTTAGTAAATTATACGTCTGTATGTGACAAATTCCTAAATTTACAACCAGGCAAGAAATGTGATTGTTGAGATTCCTACATGTCAGGGCCCGAGGAACGGCGGGCATCGGTAGCTTCGAGCCCTCCCCCCCCCTCCCCTCCACTTTTTTGTAAAGGGATATATATTAAAGAAAAAGAAAAAAAGAAAGAGAGCAAGAAAGAAAAAATAGTGTAAAAAAATAATGAGGCATCAAAATATGCCTAAAGCCCCCAAGCTTCCGGGGGCTCTGGTGGCCCCTGGATTCCACCTAGGGCCCTAAGGCGGGCCCTTAGATGCTCATCTGACGGTAATTTAATGTCTAAAACCCCTGAGCCTCCGGGGGCTCCACCGCCTCGACCCCACCAGGTGCCCTAAGGCGGGCCCCTGAATGCTTATCTGACCGTAATTTATTGCCTTTAACCCCTGAGCTTCTGGGGTCGGACAAGTTATCAAAATGTGTTTATCTGACCGCAGGCGCGTAGCCAGGGGGGGGGGGGGGGGCTGTGGGGGGGGGGGGGTACCCGAAAATCGCCGGCAAAATAAGAAAGAGAGGAGAGAAAAGGAAGAGGACGTAGGAATAAAAAGGAGCAGACAAAGAACATCTTTGAAATTCAGACAAGGATTAAGAGTAGAGAACGGTACAACGCATCGTCTTCTTTCTCTAATGATTTAATAAAACGTCAAAGCTTCCGCGCTTCGCGCAGGAAAGGAGGGGGGAACTAAATTCAGACGAAGATTAAGAATTGAGAACTCTACAACGAATCGTCTTGTTTTTCTAATGATTTAATGAAACGTAAAAACTTCCGCGCTTCGAGCAGGCGGGGAGGGGAGAACTGAATTCAGACAAGGATTATTTTCGAGAACGGTTAACGAATCGTCTTCTTTCTCTAATGATTTAATGAAACTTAAAAGCTTCCGCGCTTCGCGCGAGAGGAGGGAGCTTGAATTCAGACGAGGATTAAGAGTCGAGAACTCTACAACAAATCGTCTTGTTTTTCTAATAATTTAATGAAACGTAAAAGCTTCCGCGCTTCGCGCAGGCGGGGAGGGGGAACTGAATTCAGAACAAGGATTAAGAGTCGAGAACGGTACAGCGAATCGTCTTCTTTCTCTCATAATCATATGAAACGTCAAAAATTCCGCGCTTCGCGTGGGAGGGGGGGGGAAACTAAATTCAGACGAGGATTATTTTCGAGAACGGTACAACGAATCGTCTTCTTTATCTAATGATTTTAATGAAACTTAAAAGCTTCAGCGCTTCGCGCGGGAGGGGGAGCCTGAATTTAGACGAGGATTAAGAGTCGAGAACTGTACGACGAACCGTCTTTTTTCTCTAATGGTTTAATGAATCGTAGAAGCTTCCACGCTTCCCGCTGGCGGGGAAAAACTGAATTTAGACGAGGATTATTTTCGAAAACGGTACAACGAAACGTCTTCTTTCTCTAATAATTCAATGAAACGTCAAGAGGGAGGGGGAACTCGCCCCTCCCTGCACCCACCCCCCCCCCGCATTACGTCACTGCTGGTCACCATTACGTACCAATATTTGGCTCGCATAATTTCAAATTTGGGTCCCCCCCCCCTAAGAAATCCTGGATCCGCGCCTGAGATGGTTACCCGGTACGAAGAAACTATGTATTCATATCTTATTATCATAATTACTGACAACAATGATAAGCCTATCAGTATCATCATCATCATCGGTAGAACAGATAACACTTTTAACCATTCTCAGAAAAACGGTCAACTGTTTAATACTGTTTAAACTGTTATTTCCCAATAACAGTTTCTCTATAAAAAATTTCCTTTAATGTGCCCTCGTCCCCCCCCCCTACCCATCAATACCTGCAGCAATACGACGACTACATAATATTTACCAACATGGTGACGTATTACAAGCCTCGCCCTGAAAATGGAACTGATGAGCTCATTACCAGAGAACACTATCTTCAGATCCCTGTTACTTGCTACCTGGAGCGGACACAGGTCTTGGAAGACTCCTTCATGCCTGAAGCAAATCTTCGTGTTTTCGAAAAGGTTAGAATTCAATTACTTTGTAGCTTAAGTAAAGTGAATTCTGGTAGGAGCGACGTTTGGTGGAAATGTAATAGATAAGAATAAGAGCAATAACCATGCACTTTGAAGGCATTTGCGCTCTGAAAACAGACCTCAACTATCCCTTTAAGTATTAAAAGCGAATTATGGTAGGAGCAAAGTGGTAGGATGGTGGAGATGTCGTGGAATAGTAGTTCATTTCACTTGTCTATAAATCCAAGGGTTGAGGGTCGTAATCCAAACTCGGCACCAACGTCCTTTGGCAAGAACAGTGTAATCATGTTCAAGAGCCAGGTGCACGACAGTGTGAGGACATTTGCGCTAAATAGAATTACCGAAGTGTGACGTCATACTGGCCAAGTTGTGAAGGTTTCTGGTTCCAAACAATTGTTGTGCTAAACAATAGTCTAGTGATCGCACCAGCCGCAAACACTGAATTCATCCTTTCTCCATCACGTTGCTTGAATGATTTTGCGGTTAACCTCATGTGCAGCCTCTGTTGTTTAGAACCAGTCACTTCGACAACGGCAGAAGACACCGATATTTTTTGTATTATTACTATGATTATTATCACTTTTATACTATCAATATTATTATTGTCAATATTATCATTATTATTATTTCGACTCTTGCTGAGTGCTTACATACTTGAACGAGCTTTTAAGGCCACATTAATTTTGTTTAATAAATGGATATTAAATACTGGGGTAATAATAACTGTATTGCCCGTAATAGCATTGGACCATAGGCAAATAAAACCACTTTATTATTCATTATCAACCTTTCATTGAGTGTTGAGTTTTGATAAAGTTTGGAAATAAATTGCGAATTCTCATGCATGTCACATGATAATTGTTATTGTAGTATTTATTTCATATTTATTATCATGTTAGTTTATATGACTCGATCAAACTTTGGTGGTAAATTGTTGTGTCCCAATTAGCAATTATTTCTGTCTTAGACACACATATAATTTGAAATATCTCTCTCTCTCTCTCAAATGTGTACTCATTTTCTAGAAAGGGTATGGTGATTTCTCGCTAAACCTGGACCGGTATACAACCCCAGGCTTCTACCAACCTACCAACGATTCCGGCGAAGTTACGCTCGGCACACCGCTATACTTCGGCGTCCGCCTGACGTCCGTCACGAACCTCACGCTTCTCATCGAGTCGTGCTGGGCAACGAGCTCGCCGGACCCAGGCGACGATCCCCGCTATGATATCATCAAGAATGGGTGGATTATTATTTTGTTTCTACATTTGCTTACTCACTTTTTATCTGATCCTGTTGATTCTTGGTTGAAATATACCGATTGAGGCTAAGCTTTTTTCCAGCCTTTTTTGTGTTTGTTTTGTTGTTATTGTTTTGGTGTTTTTATTGGAGGATGGGGGTCGCAGACTTTTGCATTTCATCCACCAAGTAAGAGCAGTGCACCTCCTCGCATGAATGGACATACACTGTGCCATTCATAAGGGGCGGACTAACTATGGGGGGTCTGGGGAGCTTCCCCCTACGAGCCGCTCGATATGATGCATTGAGGGCCAGTCGATTTGTGCTCTGATGGCCGACAGGCCAGTTGATATATATCCTAGAGGTTGGGTGGGAGGGTTCGCATCGAAATTCTCAATTAGGGCCAATTAGGGTAACGTTCCAAAATGCACAACGTATATCATCATAAAAGCAAATTTATTTCGTTACATGTGTTTGTGTTTTGTAGATGTGCCGTGGATAGCACAACAGTCATTTACAATTTGGCCTCCCCAACTTTTAAAGGATTTAGTATCGATGCTTTCACCTTTATTGGCGATAACGACGAGGTGAGTGTCAACAATAGCCCTTTGTACCCCTCGTACCCGTTGCACCCGATGTGTCATTTTACTGCCGTAGTACTGTGTTAGTTAATAGGGACTTTTAGATTGAGTGGACGAGAACACGACGAACGCCGACTGATCATGCGTGTCAAAGTGCTTAACGGCCCATGTTGACTACAATTAGAAATCTTTTAGATTGCACTCGACGATATACATGCATGCATGAAGTAACACTATGAACATCACGGACAAAGAAAGAGGACAAAATATACAGTTCCTCATTCTACCCTCAACAAAAGAACATCCCTTCACTGCTATTATGTAAAAATGTGTAGAACAGGTGAATATGCCTGTGACACCTGTTCTACACATTTTTACATAATAGCAGGGAAGGGATGTTCCTTTGTCTACCTGAGGAACAGTATATTTTATGCGTACGCGGCATACTAGTACCTTGAGCATGTAAAAGCGCTATATAAATATCAATATGTATGTACTAGATTTAGGAAAATCAAAGTTGACGCATTTTCGATTGCCGACTGAGACGACGTAACGCTTGCGCAGTGCCTTAAAATGACGTCACACGTTGCAGTCAAAGCTGTCGACGTGCAAATCTAAAAGTCCCTAGTATAATGGCCCTGATGCGGCATGTGAGAGTGACAAACGGTGATTCTAAAACAAAAGTTAAGCTTAACTGTACACATATGGAAAAGTGGTGTCTTTTGGCGAGTCTCGAACGCATGCTCGCGCGCATGTATTATAACCAATGGGCACAGGCTTTAAAAAAAACATTCTTATGTCAAAGATATTGGTGTAACTTTGCAATGCTGCAAAATACAAGGCTGGCGCGAACGGTATTCTATTGTCTATATTTTTTTTCTTGTATTTTCCAGAATATGAGAAAATAATTTAGGTATTTGCGTCGGAAGAGGCCTGAAAAGAAAGAAATTCAAGTGAAACTTTGACACCAACCTTCCATAGTAATGCACGAACTTGCACAATTCAAAGCAGGAAACGTAATCGATAACCCCGTGTTTGAGACTCTGTATCCCAGCGACGGATTACCCTACGCATACAGCGTTTTCATTTATCAGTGCGGAATTTATCCCGTTCTGTCATATATCAAAATCAAGCTGATTGGTCTAAAAAAAATTGGTCGGAAACCTTGAAAAAGTAAGAAGATTAATCTTTTCCATCCAATCACATTTGGCGACACTCCAAGCTCATTAGCATAGAGAGTTATGATGTCATATCACGCCATGATTAGGACTGAGCCCGCAGCAATGCACAGGGGGTTTCATTGCCATTGTTACGTTTGGGTATCTGCATTGCACTGGCTGGCAATGCGCTGTGACTGAGTGATCCATTGAACCAGTGTCATGACTCATGGATCTGTTTTATGGAGGAAATTCCCAACTCTACCCAATGCATCTTCAGTGCACACATTACAACTATGTGTTATCCCTCTGTACATTGAGCTTAATCTACCTATATTCGCTAATGGACTGGTCCGCACACTCGCCTTTGCGTGGCTGTGTGTGCAGTTGGCGCGAGGGTCGTGAATCATTCATGAGACGTACCTGTGCGCGCTGTGCAAAAAAAAAAAACACGCACAGATCCACTTTAGTGGAATTTCGGCCTGAAACTTTTTCGGTATGTACCCCCCCCCCCAGTACTGTTAACGTACATAAACGTCGAAGACCTAGGGTTAGAGTAAGGGTTAGGGTTAGGAATAGGATCCCCAAGACGAAAATCCAATTGAACACCAATTGATCTTCAATTGGTCTCAAAAGGTTTTAACAGGTTTCAATGGGACTTTAATAGAATTTCAGTTGGTTTCAATTGGTCCAGATTGGCCTAATTGGCCTAGGCCACATTAGACTTTAATTAGACCTCAATTGGTTTCAATTGGACACATTGGCCCTATTTTGGACTTCAATTGGTCCAATTGAAAACCTTTTAAAGTATAAAGGGGCCGATTGGTCCAATTGAAATCCCATTAAAGTCTAATGGGGCCAATTGGACTAATATAAACCAATAGGACCAATAGAAACCAATAGAAACCAATAGGACCAATAAGACCAATATAATCCAATGGGACCAATAGAAACCAATAGGACCAATAGAAACCAATAGGACCAATAGAAAGCCATATGACCAATAGAAACCAATAAAAACCAATAGGACCAATAAAACCAATATAACCCAATGGGAACAATAGAAACCAATAGGACAAATAGAAACCAATAGGACCAATATAAACCAATAGGACCAATAAAATCCAATAGGTTCTATAGAAACCAATAGAAACCAACAGATCTATGTATCTCATGCATATACTCATTATCACTTCACACGTATCAGCAAATTATGACAATGCACATCCATTTTGTGATTTGTATTTCCCTTCGGCAATTATTGACCAATAGATTGTCTGATCATGTTACAAATACATTCACGTTTTACTATATTGAATATGATTACTAACCAAGAAACAACATGTATGTTTATTTAAGATGTATGTAGAGCCAACATTTTTATTAAGGTTAATTTTAAATTCACTTCAAATGATCTGTGTTATGGGGTTAATGCAAATGAGATTAGAATATATCTCATGGTGGACCATTGCCAGTATCGATTACGAAGTATCAGTTTATCACTGGTTCTTCTATCCGGTTCGATTTACCAATATAAGCCAAGACTAGTATTGATATGAGATGGCGATCGATTACCAGGGACAATGTGCCCGTTTGTTCCAATATGGACAAATTGTCCTTTGTTTTAATGTGGACCAATTACCAGTTTGTTTCAATAGGGACTAATTGCCAGTTGAATTCAATATTGACCAATTGCCAATTGGTTTCAATAGGTACCCATTGTTTCACTTTTCATGTACTTTAAATTGCCAATTGGTATTTAATTGGGATTCAATGGGGACATTCAATGGGAATTCAATTGGATTTTCGTCTTGCGTTAGGTTTACTTAAGAAACTTAATTCTTCAGATTTAGCTTCATTTATAGAGCATTAGGTAACCTACGTACGTCTGGTGGGGTTTTATAAAGTTGCTCCGAACGGTGCAGACGATGAGTGTAGACAGTGACTGCAAACGGAAGCAATGCTACTTGAGTTAACCACAGGCTCGATTAGCGCAGTAGCGCAGGTAATAACAAAATCGAAATGACACCTCATAGGCAGCTGGGGCTCTATTCTAAGCTGACGTAGGAGTGCGTCAGCAACTGGCGCAGTCTGTCAAAAGCCAGCCGTATGAGACATCACACGATTACTGAATGCAAAATCATGGTGCAAACAAATTATTGACTTGAATTACCGTTGCATTCTAAAATTCCTTCAGGGTCTTGATTAAGATATCGCAGTTAAGTATTAATTGTGCACTGGAAAATAGGGTTTTCACTGGTATCAGTTTATCTGTGTTATTAACTCGGAGACTCGGGGGGAGGGCTATGACTAGGTTTATCATGGTTATGGTGATTTAATTTCTCTCAAGTGTTTATGTGCTAAGTGCTTGGTGGGGTTACAATTCGCACAGTACCGTATCGAGTTATTACCATTATGTAAGACCGCGTTCTCGAGGGTATCATATAGAACCAATATAGCTGGTCGCTATTGTAAAACAAATCCTGAAAATTCTACTTGATAAAGGTGATAAAGATCTGGTAGATGGATCTGTATCGACATATTTTTGTTCAACCATTTTGGCGTAGACATTGCAATAGTCTCAATAATGGGTCGGCCGCAACTTAAAGGTAATACAAAGTTTTGGGAAATTTTGAAAAATGAGTTGATAGTGATTCTTTACAATTTTGATATATTTTGATGCCCCTGTGGATGTATTAAAAGCACTAGAAAATTTAGCCCCTGAAACACTTCTGCTTTCGAGAAAAATTGAATATAAAGATTTACCGGTGCTCCCGGTAAATTTTGATAAATTTCAAATAGCTTCTACGGCCGTACAATGGTAGCTGCGACCATGAAAATAGTATGTAGTTGTGGTATATAATTTCCGAACGAGAATAGCTAATCGGTCGATTTTATTCAACAAACATTGTTTTATAGCTTAATTAATGTCTTGACCTTGAGAGGGAGCTATTCAAGTGTTTATTATTTACAATTTCATATCTTTGGAGTCGATTTCGTCCGCGACAACGATCACTGAATATTGTAGGATCGTATATGCTTCCAATATGATCATTTGAACCAAATTCATGACCCCATACCAAAACTTCGTATTACCTTTAAAATCACATAGCACAACATTCCGGTGGTTCCATGTTCGAGTGAGGTATTTCTGCATGAAAAATAACTGTCTGGTTGGTATGGGGAATCCTGTAATAAAACTAAATTTGTCAACCGTCCCCGCATTCACGTAGAGGCAGTCATTGGAGCAGCACGTAGCTCAAAGTAACCACCTGTAAATATATTGCATGTCTCTGGTGGAACAATATCCCATACAAGAGGCTGATACTTCAGTCACACCGACAAACCATAATAATAATAATAATAATAAAAACGTTACTTATAAAGCGCTTACCACCGAAGTCTCTAAGCGCTATACACACAAAATAGACTGATATACAATTACATCTTATACAAAACTAAAAATGCAAATAAACCTACAAACAACAATACATATGGAATACACATCAAAGTGAACAGAGATAATTAATCATCGAACCCAATTTTGAATAAATGTGTCTTGAGACTAGTTTTGAATAGGTTAACGGTTTGACAGTTTTTTACATTTAAAGGTAATTTGTTCCAAAGTTCAGCAGAAGCTTTGCGAAAGGAGCGATTACCATAAGAGAGAGTTGACACAGAAGTAGATACGAGGTTTAATTGTGAAGATGACCGTAAATTGCGTGAGGGTTTGTATTCCTCGATTAATTCTTGCAGATAAATTGGTGCCAATTCATGAATGCATTTATAAGTTAAAACTAAGATTTTGTACATAATGCGGTACGTCACCGGCAACCAATGCAATTCGCG